GGGGTTTAGGTCAATAAAGACCATAGACTAATACTATTGATATTACAGTTCAAGTCTATGGTAAAGCTACAGGAGTCTGGGTGAAAAGGTCAGCAAGTCCACCAGAAGAACACAAACTGTTTCAGTAGTTAAAAAAACCAACTACAACTACAACAACCAACAAACCCCAACCAAACTACGAATGATGCCATTTCATGGCGGTGTATTATCCTAAAAACACCCTGTGAAAAATGTAGGTGAAATGCGGAGAAGTTAAGCACAACAGTAGGGCCTAACCAGTTTCGGACTACTACACGATTATGCTTCTTGTCAAAGATACACGCAACTGATACAGTAATCCAGAAAATAACGAATGCTTTACACAAACGACTTATAGATCTATATAGTTCCATGGTAAAAAAAAAATCTCGACTGGTCTAACTACCATCGCCAAACCTTCGTTCAGGAATAATTCCAGCGTCCCTCCGATGCTTCCCTCCAACGTGTATAGATTTCTACGTGTCTCAGTTGGTGAATGCTGGCCAACGTCAACCACCACAACAACACAAAAACGTCGTTATATCAGTGAGGCGTACGAGTATCTGGCCTAAAGGTATGTTATATTTATATTCACACAAGACTGCGCCACACATGTACATCTCCACCCCCAGCCCCCGGCCTCTCCTCTAGCCTTGCCCAGGTCGCTGTGTGTAGATCAAGGAGGTTATTACACAGTTATTACACAGTACGATAATATAATAGAACGTCTTGTTGTAAGTAAGGTCCTCTGTATAGATGATCTTACATCACATCTCGTTGGAGCATCACCACTTGGGTCACTGATACGACTCATTAACTCTTTTGAGGACGTAACGGCCACACACACACACACACACACACACACACATGTATAGGCAGTGTTTCAGCACATTTCAAACCATCATACTGCTTTAGGGTTTGGGCGTTTTGCGGCGCCGTTTACAAAATAATGTGCCCTTGACAGTAAGTAAGTGTGGTCTACCTCCACTTTTGTTCTTTCATTTTGTTTTGGTAAGCGCTTTACGGCCCTCGCAACTGAACGAGGTCATATTGAGCGCGCGCGACACACATTAAACATTTTTAGTTTGGTAGGAATTACATTTGAACTTTGCTCGGGTGGCGGCCGAAGCTTACTCTCATCAATTTTGGACCACCAAGGGATCTTTACCGTGCGCAACTTGCACACGGGACCAACTAGATTTTTCGCCCTTATCCGACAAGGCTAGGTGTTGGGTCTCACGTCCTACTCTAAGATAAGGGGTATGGGTGAAAGATAGCAGTAAGAAGGAGTCAAAGGGTAGCACTAGAAAGGCTGCAACTTAACCAAAGAAAATTAATGTCGATTTGG